TATTAAGTCTGTTCCCAAATCTGGTAAGTCGATCTCCTAAATATCCCCCTAAATCCATCTCTTTCCTTCCAATCCGTTTCTTCTGTTAGCCTCAGGCCCTCATCACGAAGCTTAGATGACTGAAAGCCTCCTAAATAGTCTCCTTGCCTTCCATCTCAAACTGTCTGGCCCATTCTTTAAAGTCCTAATGGTCTTTCTAAACTGGTATCAATTGTGACAAAAAGAGCTGAATCCAGGTTTGCCTGACTCTGGAACTGGTAACCCCATCCTTTACTCTTTACTGCTCCTCATTCCTACACATCACCAGCTCCTCGAGATCCAACCTTCCATATGCTTCCCAAATATGTCTACTTTCCATTGCCATTACAACTTCCTTAAATCAGTCTTATCATATTAACCAGCAATCTTCTAAACAGTCTCCATGCTTTCTGGCCCCCCATCCCTAACTCTATTCTCTCTATTCTCCCTGCACACAGCAGTCAGAAGGATCTTTGTGAAATGCAAAGTTCATTATTCCTCTTTCCTTTAATGGTTCTCACTGAGTTTGGAATAAGGTCCTTTCATAACTGACTCTTTGCATAATCCTCCAGTCTCATCGCTTCCTGGTTCCCTTTTCTAACACTTTATGTAGCAAACCACCTCCAGTTTCTGAAACTCACCCAGCTGTCTATGTGTTTGCATAGGCATGCTCTTTCCCATTTGCACCTACTACTCCTATTCATTTTTCAAGACAGTCCCAAGTATCACCTCTTCCAGAAAGCCTTCCTGCGTTCTCTACACTGCAGCATCCCACAAAGACCTGGAAGTTACAGGTAATATCGATCTCTTTGATCAGGACCATGCCATGCTTCTTCCTTGAAACTTACCAGAATATATTACATCCACTTAAATCTTAGCCAAACAAATACCTCTTACCCTAGACTATGCCTGGCCCAATATATGCACCTTAGAAGACAATTAATATTTGTTTCCAAAAAGAAGAAATGGATAAATAAATGTTTGAAACATGTAGGGTTGATCATCCATATGAGTTAATTAGTTGGCTTTAAAAAGAATATAATCATTTAAAAAATAATAAAGTTGAAATATGTATGAGCTAGAAAGAGAGAAGTTACTTTGATTTATGACAAAAGTGTCACTGCATTCCTGTGGGGGAAAGGATGGTCTTCTAAATAAATAATTCTTGGTCAACTGGATTTCCATATGGGGGAAAATAAATCAAATCTTGATCTCTATATCGCACCAAACACATGCGAAAATATCAATTCCCATATACATTATGCAACAAAATATAAAACATTAAACAATAAATCCTTTAGAAAAAAATAAACCCTTTAGAAGAATGTGTTCATGACCTTGTGAGAAGGCAAAGATTTTTAAATTGTAACTCAAAAATCTTAACAATAAAGGAAAAATGATAAGCTGAACTACATTAAAATTAAGAACTTCTATTCATCGAATGACACTATTGAGAGAGTGAAAAGGCAAGCTACAGAGTGGGAAAATATTTTTTTAATCTTCAAATGCAACAAAATACTCTTATTCATAATACATAATGTACTCCTACCAATTTTTAGGATAAAGACAGGCCACCCATGAGAAAATATGAAAAAGACTTGAACAGGCATTTTTCCTAAAGAGGATATATCCAAAAGACAATGAACGAAGCAAAGGGTGTCAACCTTATTAGTTAATAAATTAAAGTTACAATGTGATAAATATCACTATAAACTCTCCTGAACGCTACAATGAAGGAGGATGAGGAATAACCAGAACTCCCCTGCACTGCTAGTGGGAGTATGCATAGTAATTACAACCACTCTGGAAAAACACAGTTTTTCTATTAAAGCTGAACATATACATGCTTTTATTACTCCACAATTCCACTAGCAGCAGAAATACATACAACAGGCCTGGGTTCAGTTTGTTGGACTGTTGTCCTGTGCACCAGAGTGGCAGGTTTGATCCCCAGTCGGGACATATACCTGGATTGTGGTTCAATTCCCAGTTGGGGCATGTACGGGAGGTAACTTATCTGTTTCTCTCTCGCATCAATGTTTCTCTCTCTCTCTCTCCCCCCAACCTCCTCTTCTTTCCTCACTCCCACCCTCCCTTCCCCTCTCTCTGAAATCAATAAACATACCTTCAGGTGAGGAGTAAATAAAAAGAAATGCATACAACAGAAATTTGTAAATATGTTCAGCCAAACACATGTACAAGAATGCTGGAAACAATGCAAATATCCATTAACATTGGAAATGGGTAAATTATGGTCTATTCATACCATGGGGTACTACAAAGCAAGGAGAACAATTTACAATTACACTCAATGGTAAGAGTAAATTTTGCAAACATAATATCGAGTGAAAGAAGCCATATATGACAGAGTCTATTCCATTTATACAAAGTTCAATAACAGGCAAAATTGATTGATTGTGCTAGAATTTAGTGGGCATTACCTTTTGAAAGCAGATAGTGGCGGGGGTAAGAAAAGAAAGGAGAGATAGCTCATGTAGTGATACTGTTCTTTTTCTTGATCTGCATGCTGGTTTCATTAGTAATAATGTTCAGTTTGCAAAAATTCATCAAATTGTACATTTATGATTGGTGAAAATTTATATGTGTATGTTATCCTTCAATAACAAGTTTTCAAAATGAAGAATATAAAAGAAAGCCTTGCACTTGGTAAACATAATTACACCTAAATTGTGTATCCCAATCAGTGGCATAACTTGAAATTCTGGGTTACACTTGGAGAATTCTATTCTCATACCATACCATCAGCATAGAATGCTGTTATCATTAGGTTCTAAATATACATCTCCACTCCCTCTAACCCTGACCTTTCTATGTGCAATGTCAACCTCAGATTCTCAGTGGCCTCCATGACTTCTGCCATCAGTCCCTCTATTACCTCATACAATATAACACTCAATGTGTGAGGTTACATCACCAGTTGGTCCTGCCCTCAACACCCTCCCCACAATACACACACAAACACATTTCTTGCTCAGAATTGTGTCCCTTCTCAATGTCCCTATTTCAGTAAAGAACACCACTACCATTTCATTCTTTTGGCTCTCTAGGTTCAAAACTTAAAGGGTTAATTTTGACTCTTTCCTTTTTACTTCACATCCAAATAATCACCACTGGATTCTTCCTTTGGGTGGTCTCTTCTGTTATCCCTTGCAATCCATTCCCACTGTAATTACTGTGGTCTCCACCTTCTGCTTAGATTATTGCAGTAACCTCCTTATTGTTCCCCTTCTCTCTAGTCTCTCTCCCTATTCAACTTACCTGTCAGATTGATTTTATGAAAATGCTGTTCCTTTCCCTTTACTCTTTAAAAAAAAATTATAAGGGCTTTACATTGTCTATGGACTCAAGCCTAAACTCCTGCTTCAGACTGGAGTTAAAAATACTTCATTAACTAGCTCCTCTATCCCATATAATACATCACCCACAATTCCTTTGCATGCCCAAATCAAGTCAATTTCTTTGCCTTCCTTTATAAAGGCACCAGATCATCATCATACTATGTCTTTGCTAATATTATTTTCCCTATTTAAAGTACTCACTCTACTCCCATCCCATTCAGTCAAAAGCCACCATTCCTAATGAAGGCTTCCATGATAAACCATAGGCCATAATATAAGGACTTTTTTCTTCCTTTGAAATTTCTATAACTTTCTATTCAAGGCAGTATGGAATAAATTGTGAAGAAGATAAAACTGCTCTTTAGCAGCCACAATTTCCTCTTTCTATAATCTTTAAAAATTCATTAAGACATTTTCAAACATACTGAAAAAGAGAAAACAGTATAATAAACTCTATATACCCATCATTAAAATTCAACAACTACCAAATTTTTGCCACAATCTTTTATCTACTATTTTTCCCTTTGTTCTTTGCTGAGGTATTTTAAAACAAATCTGATACCTTATTTCATTTAACCCACCATATTTCTACATGCATCTCTAAAAATTATAGAAATTTTCTTACATGATCATACTACCATTGTCAGTTAATAAAAATAACAATTTGTTGTATTTAACAACCAGTCCATATCAAAATTTCCCTGGTTATCTCCAAAATGCTTTACATTTATTTTGTTTGAATCGGGGTCCAAACAACATCCATTGTTATATTAGGCAGTTGTCAAAATCTCTTTTAATCCAGAGCAGGCCCCCTTTCCCACCTTTCTAACCTCATTCCACCACTGACTTGTTGCAGAAACAAGATAATTTGTCCTGTACAATGTCCCACACTCTGCATTTGTCTCTTCTCTCCTTGTGATGTCTTGTTCTCACTCCACATGTGTCTTGTTCATCTATCCCCTGCATTTCCTATCGGTGGGAGTTAAGAGTCTCTAAAGGCTCTAAAGATTTGATTAGATTCAGCACAATTGTTTCTGCTAGATCACTTCATAGATGAAGCCATGTAGTTCCTAATGTATTACATCATAGGTTCACAAGGTCCGGTTGTCCACTTTTAGTGACGTAACATTAATCAATAAGTTCAGATTAATAGCCTAATCTTTCTATTTAAAATATCCCCATCAATATTCTATCTGAATTTTCATCCACTGATTATCTTTGCCCGACTTAATTATTGCATTGGAAGATATAAAGGGTGATTTTCCTAATTCTATTTTTACCTCCCGTATCTTCCATATTTCTTAGCTGGCCTTTCATATTCTACAAAAGAATGATTTTCCCCAATTAACCAGGGTCATTTGGTTACCCTAAAATACAGTTTGTACAGTAAGTACAAAACAAATGCTCAATTATTTATTTAATTATTTGGTTGTCATTGTGTAGAGTTGGTGTCCTAGTTACTTCCAATAATGTGATGATATCAAATGGGTATTTTTAATTCACTTTTTAAATCTTTTTTATTTTTCTTTTGCTTTGTGGGGATATCTTTATGAATTTATTAGTTTATATTGTTAAAACTTTTATTATTAAATTGCACGAAAAAGTGGAACTGAAGGCGACATCATGGGAGTTGACATCCACCACAGCAAAGACCGAAAGGTTCGGTGCAAGGAGCCCAAGAGTCAGGACATATACCTAAGGCTGTTGGTCAAGCTATACAGGTTTATGGCCAGACGAACCAACTCCACCTTCAACCAAGAGGTGCTGAAGAGGTTGTTCATGAGTCGCACCGACCCGCCACCTCTGTCCTTTTCTTGGATGATCCGGAAGATAAAGCTTCCTGATCGCGAGGGCAAAACTGCTGTGGTTGTAGGGACTGTAACTGAGGACGTGCGTGTCCAGGAGCTGCCCAAACGGAAGGTGTGCGCACTTCGCATGAGCAGCCGCGACCGAAGCCACATCCTCAAGGCCGGGGGCAAGAGCCTCACCTTCAACCATCTGGCCCCGGACTTCCCCCAGGGCTGCGGCACTGTCTTGCTTTCTGGTCCTGGCAAGGGCCGTGAGGTGTACAGGCATTTCGGCAAGGCCCCAGGAACTCCTCACAGCCACGCCAAGCACTATGTGCGATCCAAGGGCAGGAAGTTCGGGCGCGCAAGAGGCCGGCGGGCCAGCTGCGGCTACAAAAACTAACCCCATATCCTACCTTCTTATTAAAAAGATTTTGGATGCTGAAAAAAAAATTGCATAAAGAGAATACATAAAATGTAACTTTACTGCATAACAAATAATTATTAAATAAACATTCAGCTTTTATACCCTTTGCTTCCCTTTCCCCTGTCAAAATCAACTCTCAGGAAATTATCTGAACTTTAATGAAATGTAAAATCAATATGTCTTCTAGGGGATTTTTAAGTATAAGATTTACTTCTATTATAAAACTGACGGAGCAATATTAAAGATTTGGTATCTTTATTTTTTATTTTATTTTTTAGAATATTTTACTGATTACGCTATTACAGTTGTCCCATTTTTTTACTCCTCCTATCCCCCTCCACCCTGAACTCCCCTCCCACCAACAATCCCCCACCTTACTTAGTTCATGTCCTTGGGTCGAACATATAAGTTCTTTGGCTTCTCCACTTCCTATACTATTCTTAACCTCCCCCTGTCTATTTTGTACCTACCAATTACGCTTCTTATTCCCTCTACCTTTCCTCTCATTCTCCTCTCTCCTCCTCCCTGCTGATAACCCTCCATGTGATCTCCATTTCTGTGATTCTCTTCCTGTTCCAGTTGTTGCTTAGTTTGGTTTTTTTGGTGGGAGGTCGGGGGGGGGGGGTTAGGTTCAGTTGTTGATAGTTGTGAGTTTGTTGTCATTTTACTGTTCATAGTTTTGATCTTCTTTTTCTTAGGTAAGCCCCTTTAACATTTCATATAATAAGGGCTTGGTCATGATGAACTCCTCTAATTTTACCTTATCTGGGAAGCACTTTATCTGCCCTTCCATTCTAAGTGATAGCTTTGCTGGATAGAGTAATCTGGGATGTAGGTCCTTGCCTTTCATGATTTTGAATACTTTTTTCTAGTCTCTTCTTACCTGTAAGGTTTCTTTTGAGATATTAGCTGATAGTCCTATGAGAACTCCTTTGTAGGAAACTGTCTCCTTTTCTCTTGCTGCTTTTAAGATTCTCTCCTAATCTTTAATCTTGGGTAATTTAATTATGATGTGTCTTGTATTCCTCCTTCAGTCCAATTTCTTTGGAACTCTCTGAACTTCCTGGACTTCCTGAAAGTCTATTTCCTTCACCAGATTGGAGAAATTTTCCTTCATTATTTTTTCAGTTAAGTTTTCAATTTCTTGCTCTTCCTCTTCTCCTGGCTCCCCTATGATTCAGATGTTGGAACAGTTAAAGTTGTCCCAGAGATTCTTAAGCGTCTCCTCATTTTTTCTGAATTCTTGTTTTTTCATTCTGTTCTGGTCGAATGTTTATTTCTTCCTTCTGTTCTAAATCGTTGATTTGAGGCCCGGTTTCCTTCCCTTCACTGTTGGTTCCCTGTATACTTTTCTTTATTTCACTTTGTATAGCCTTCACTTCTTCCTCTGTTTTGTGACCATACTCAATCATTTCTGTGAGCATCCTGATTACCAGTGATTTGAACTCTGCATCTGATAGTTTGGCTCTCTCCTCATCGCTTAGTTCTTTTTCGGAAGTGTTGTTCTGTTCTTTCATCTGGGCCATATTTTTTTGTCTTGGCATACCTGATAGGTTGTAAGGAGCGGATCCTTAGGTATTCACAAGGGTGGGACAACCCACATCTCTGCATGGTGGAGCTATACGTGGGGGTGAGGTAGAGAGGGAACAATGCTGCTTGTTCAGTTCTCACCCACTTTCAGTCACTTCCCCTGCTACCCACAAGCAAATTGGGCCCTTCTGGTGCAGATTCCCAGGTGGGTGGGTTTGTGTACATTCTAGGATCCCGTGGGTCTCTCCAGTGAACTCTCCTGTGAGGCTGGGAGTTTCTCCTGCCACTGCAACACCCACAGATTTTTACAGCCAGAGGTTTTGAGGCTTTAGTTTCCCACACTGGAACCCTGGGTTGCGTGATCTGTTTCGCTCCCCAGTTGTTCCTCCCTGCTTATCTCTCCATGAATGTGGGAACACCCAGTCCACCGACACTGCCTTGCCCACCTGGTCTGCCACCTTGCTGTGTGTCCTCTCTGCCCTGGCTGTCCACCTCCACCTCTCCTACCAGTCTGGATGAATATTCCTTCTCTTACTCCTTATTGTTGGACTTCCATACAGTTTGATTTTCTGGAAGTTCTGGTTGTTTTTTGTTTTTATTTTTGTTGTTGTCCTTCTTTCGATTGTGCGAGGAAGCAAAGTGTATCTACCTAGGCCTCCATTTTGGCCAGAAGTCTGGTATCTTTATCTTAAAATAAACAGGCATTGATCTTATTTACACAGTGTAATGACATGATCTATATCATGTGACATGATATGTGATATATATTATAATAAGATCACTGGTTGTGTGCGGAGACTGGACTAGGCAGGGGTACGAGTGAATGTAGAGGAAATCTAGGAAGGCACTGAGGTTGTCCTGGCTAGAGATGATGTACTTACTAGAGTTGAGGCAGTAGAGACAGAAAGAAAAGAAATAAGATTTGAGAAATATATAGGAGGTAGATTTAACAGAACTTACTGACTGACTCTATGGTAGTCAGAAAAGAAAGGACAGATGTTAAAAGCAATTCTCATTTCTCATGTGAGAAACCACGTTTATGCTATTCCATTTCTTGAGCAAAAAGACTTGTAGGAAGTGTATGTTTGTGTGAAGATAACTAGTTCAATTTGGGATACGTGTGAGAAATCCAGCAAGAGATTGAAAGTTTATTATATGACCTGGACCTAAGAAGAGAAGTCAAGATGTCATTAGCATATAGAAAGGATCTTCAGCCTGGGGAAGGAAAACACTTATCATCCACTGAAGTGGATGAGATTACATAGAATAAAATGAGGGAAAGGTCTAGGACAGAACCTTGAGAAACGTCAACATTTAAAGATTAGGAGAGAAGGAAAAACCATTATAGACTGAGAAAAAAAATGTAGGAGGGAAACCCAGAAAATGTAGAGTCTTTAGGGCCAAGGGAAGAAAATGCCTCAAAAAGAGATAATAGTCAACTGTAACAAAGCTTTCATAGGTCAACAAGAACTAAAAAGTGTCATGTGAATTTAGCAACAAACACAGAGGGCATTTGGTTTTAAAGAATGGTAGGAGCAGAATCCAGACTGGAATAAATTTAGGGATAAGTAGGAAGTGAAGAAATAGAAAAAAAGTGTTGGACAACTCTTTGTTTCCTGCATAAGTTATGATACACAGGGTCATGCAATGGAGTCTCCAAGGCTCCTCCCCATACACACACAAACACATACCATTCTCAAGTCTATATACATGTACTTGTTTTATTCTTTAATTTTCAATTAGGTTGGAAGATTCTAGTGTAAGGAGACCATGTTACTACCTCTGATTCTCACAGTATTTAGAATGGTCCAGGGTTTACTATTGACACTCAGTACATGCTTAGTCTATAAAAAAGTAAAATACTTTACTAAATACCTTTAAATTAGTAACTGTAATAATAGTTAATGAAATATGTACAGAGAAAAGTTGTTCATTTAACTCGACAAACATGTATCAATATATGCCTGCTGCATGCTAGGCACTTTGTCGGGGACTAGGATTCACATTTTAATGGAAGGAAGGTATAGACACACAAATAAATAATTTAAATTCCACAATATTATGAAATGGGAAAAATGTTTTATGCTTATCTTTTTTTATGCTAATCTTACTGTGGACAAGAATGAATATATTAGTGAAATAGTTGATGTAATCTAAAAAAGTTGGCAGTAAAAATAAGTAAACTAGACAAAAAAATGTTTTGCCTCCCATAGTTTACATGCTATTAAAAAAGATGAGGAACAAAAAGAATAGATCATTTCCCCTTCTCCTCCCATTTATATATTTAATATTATCAGTACTCAAATAGTCTATTTCTGACCTAGATCTTATTGTTACTTATGCCCAAGGGAAGGAAAAAAAAAATCCTCATTTACATAAGGAACAGAATGGCTCTGAGATAGAGTTACAAAGAATCAATTGCACGAACCCTCCTCTTTTTAAAAATTTAATCCTCAGTGTAAATTGCATAAAGAATTGAGACTATTGGGCATATTTCTTTTATATTATAAAGAAAATAAAATTCAAGACTGTGCCTCTCATTCCCAAAAGATTTGTACACTTTACCATGGTCCAGCAGTGTCTAATTTACCTCATTATTAAAGCTTTGAAAGAAGTATTTCCAATGAGCGACTTAATTAATCCTTATACTTCCCTATGCCATTTAATTCCTATTTTTGTTAAATGAATTTCTGAGTCTCGAAAGAAGCATTCAAGTTGTCCTTAATTTTCCTGTCTCTATATTGAAACATATATTTACTAAAGAAAGATATGATGTTGAAGATTATTTTTTCTTCTAGGAAATATGCAAGAAGTAGATAAAATAATTTGTATGTTGGGTTTTTTTTATCCCTAGGGAAGACTACTGAAGAACATTTGAAAAGGTAAAGCAGAGCTATGGAAAGCAGACTAGTAAATTCCACAGCCACTGTTTAAACACCATAACCTGTAGCAACTGTCTCAAGTCCCTCCCTCCCACGCCCTGCTTTGCCTGCTAGCCCAGCACGAATGGACTCTGCAGAGCACTGTAAATGGTGCTGCAAACCCTAAAAATAAGTCGCTGAAAACTGAAGGGAAAATACAAATTTTCAACTTCATGGCCATTACAAACCTCTTTACCTCTGAAATTTCATTAGTAGTGTCAGGAGGTACCCAGTCCAGAGTCTTATTCTGCATAGCCTATCTTTGTTGATAATGGAGCCTTTCTAAGCAGCAACAATAACAAAAAAAAAATGTTACTGCAATCCACTTCCTAGGGAGTGAAAGCAAAGCCTTTTTGTCCCAAGAGGCCATTGAGCAACCACCAGCCTCTAGCTGAATAGAAATGGTGTGAGGCTGGCTATAATTTCCACATTTGCCTCTCATAGATTTACCAAATTCACATGGGATACATAAAAAAGAAATGCAGTTATTGAGCTGACATCACACAGTTGTCTCTGGATGGCGGC